TAAACAATGGGAAAATAGAGATATCAATGAATAGAATTAGATTTATATCTTATCAATTAGCCAGGATAATAGCAACAAGTTTGTAGAGTTATGTTTTAATATTTGAAACCTTTCAACAAAATAAACAACTTTCTCTCATTGCATTATTCCTGACCAAGAGGCAAAACACAACATGGTGTTTCAAAGAAAAAATTTTATTACAAGTAAAACTTTTTATTATTGTAGCATATGACTAATAGTTTAGTTCTTTAATATGAGGTAGTACATAAACATTACCTCAATTAGAAGTAAAATAAATTGATATTTCACAATTACAAAGTTCTCCTGTTATGATAAATCTATATTTGATCACTTACTGTCAGGCAAGCAAACTCTAGATAAAATACATTTTATGATGTAACTTAACAGTTGAAAAAATATATTAATGCTATTCTATACAGCACATATTTCACATTAAATAAATAGTAGCAACAGAGTTGAATTTACAAAATGAATGATTCATTTAAATTACATAAATAAACTCAAAAAGGCAACTATTGAATGACAAATTTAAAATATAAAAACAAAATAATGATATCACAAGTAAAACCAAAAGCATTAGATTAAATTACTAAGTCTTGCTTTTTTTTATATCTTAATTTGGTACTAAATTATTTTATTTCAATGCTTTACCTCTATTTTATGATCTATATATTTTTATTATTGGTAAGTAAGTTTTGTTAAAAGCTATTATCTAAAAAACAAGCATAAAATATAAAGATAAAATATTACTATATTAATAAATATCTGGTATACTAAACCTTGAATACCCCAATAATACTTTAAAATACTTTGAAAACACACAAGTTATATTATTTGAATTTTGATCAATTATTTATTTTCAAACACTCTGCATCTAGGTAGTGAAAATCAATATGATTAATAACTGGCAAATAGTTTAATGCACATTAATGTGACTAAAACAAACTTTTAATATTTATCAGTGTAACTAGTACCTTTTTGTTCATTCAACTGTTAAGAGACAAAAAATTCCTAACTTGTATAGCCATGTAGTGCTTAAAGAATACAACTTGAGACATAAAAAAATTCTTTTCCACAAACACATACATAACTGCTACATAAAATAAATACAATTTTATTCATTTTGATAAAAAAAGGTTAGAAAAAATGACCTTTATACTCCATGTAATTATAAAATAACTTTTTTTTAACCCAAGTTTTGCCTTTGCAGCTTCTTCTTCTGTTTGATATTAGAATATATGTGAAATTATTAAACTGCTTGTAATTTTCTATTTCTCAAGGTACATTACAGCAGACTCGAGATATAGAATATTATAAGCAGTTTTAAAATTTAATAAATATTGTAATATCAAACAGTTGTATGTAGTAACCCTGAAGAAGTCTCAATGCCGAAAAGTTGAATGTAAAAAAAGTTTTTATAATTATCTGAAGTATAAATGTCGTTTTTTTTAACCTTTTTATCACAATTTTATTCAGTACATTTAATTAACTAGCAGTGACACAAGGTCAACTGTTATTAGCAACTGAAAGAAAAACTAACAAAAAAAAACTTATGTATAAGACAAGTTATCCTCGCAGAAGGGAAAGATTGCGATATAGAGATCACAGTTTCAAGTGTTGTAATAGAACCAATGATTAAATATATTTTACAAAATATTTAAGATTTGGCTCTATTCTACAAAGCACATAAATGTTAATAGTAACTGATGATAACGGGTGTAACATTTAAATATCTATAGCAGGCAGTTTTTACTTTCTGTTGCATTTATTTATTAATTTTTTGTTCCTAATATGCATTTAGGTATAAATGTATCTATTAACTTTAGACAAAAAGTGTCCCTGAAAGATCTAAGTAGTATTGTTACTTTCAAGATAATAAAGTAGTAGATGGAGTAACTGTAGTTTTTAAACCTATCTTTTGTACAGTGGTATATGTCTCAAAACTGAATAGGTAAGGAAATTAGGATCTAGACTACAGAATAAATTTTCAGATTTCAACCAGTACCATCAAATTTCTACTCCTAATATTCAACTATAACAATCTTTAGGAATGTTTTCAGTGGGTTTAACTTTATCTCAAAAGTATTTGATACAATTAACTACAAAGATTTATTTTTTTTGGATATTCAGGCACTAACTTTCCCTAATTTCAAACTGATAAACTAAGTGGAAAGTGCAGTTTTTGATTTTTTTTGGCAACAAGATGTGAATGATGGTCCTACAGATTTACAGTCTGACATGCTAACCATTGGGCCATGCTGACATAACTAAAGAACTACAGACATAAAAGTACAGTTTGTGACATAATATCAATAACATTACATAAATGTAACTGAAATGGAGCAGATATAAGAAAAATTAACTTTCAAAGGTATCTCAAGTCCATCAGTATCTATATTTACAGCATCACAATATCTCTAAAATAATATATCAAGTGTGCATGCTCTAAAACAGCTGTCTCCACTTATGTGAAGTTAATAATTTTTTCACACTGAACTAGTTCTGTCATAGAAGATTATCTATACTTGAAGATACTTCAATACATATATCATTCCTGCCCAAGTGTTATGAGTCATACTACTTCAACTATTTATTAAAATCATTAGCTAAGAATAACAGTAGAGCATGATATTTCTTTTCATTTTTAAATGACAAAACAATCAATATGACAATTTTATATCAATAAGAGAAACACTTATTATTAACTACTTTATTATTTAAAAGTTAAAATTCACAGGTTTTTAAATGAGAGATAGCTAACAGAAAGACTTAAAAGATAATATCTACTCTATTACAAAATACTTTATATATATATATATCTAAATGGCTCAAGTTATGGTTTATAGCTAATAAAAATATAATCCACCCCATACTACTCTTGTTTTTTCTTTGTTACAACTGAGAGGAAGATGTAATAGCAAAACCTGTCTAGCTTAAATGTAGCTTACATTTACTATGTCTTTAACAAAAAGAAATTTTTAACAGTTAGAAATATCTATATTTAAATTTTTACTGTATAGTTAACTGCAACAGGAGAAAGAATGATTCAAAATTCACCAATAATTAACACCTTGCACTTTCTAGTAATAACACAAAAGGTTAGCAGTTAAAGGTGGAAATGTGTACATAATTCAATATTTCACACCCCAAAAAAACTGTAGGTTCATGTAAATACTGTAATTGCTTCTAAATATCACTGTTAATACTAGCTACAATCATTAATTTATTTCATATTATATGAAATCTTCTTCTTTCCATTATATTTTAGGAATATTATTCATCAAGAAGAAATTTTACATTACAGAGCACACATAACTTTTCTGGTCTTGACTTTCAAGTGCAGCAGAACGCCTCCGAGATGCTGTCAAAAGAATAAAAATCTGTAATAATTATATATATATATTGTAACAAAAGAAATAACAAGGTAAAAATATGTAATGAATGCTGTCAGTTTATCAACTTATAGAAACTTATAAGAACAATTCAGTGAAAAAAATTAAATAAAAGGAATTGAAAGAAAATTCAGTAGTAAAAGCATAAAACAAATTGTTATCTAGTGTTAACTAATAAAATATGACTACTTAATCTTTTTATCAGTAAGCAGTTAAAAAGAACATCATAATAACTTTCAGAACATAAATATTTATTAAGTTTTAACAGCTTAAAATTACTAACAATGGTTATTAAGCTTTACATTTGTCCACAAGTTACTCTAGATCAGTCTTTAACAACCAATGATATCAATAATAACACAAAACAACTTCAAAACCAATGAGAGATCATTGTAGCTGTAGAGCCTTGGAGACTGATTAACAGAGTTGAATAACTCAATATCTTATAATGATCAATAAATTACTTAAACTTGCTGTTGATATTAAGTCTTGTGTATTTCTGGCTATGAGGAGAATGCTTCTCCTTTATAAAAGGATTTAGATCATTTTGTGAGTTGGGTGTATAAACAGCAAATACCTTTTAATTATAATCAGTGCAAGTTAGTGCATGTGGGTTGCCATAATTTGAATTATAAGTACAATTTGAATAAGAGTAGCCTTAATATTTCATAGTGTTATGGAAGAAGTGTTCTGGTTGATCACTCTCTTAAGCCATCCAAACAGTGTGAGACCATTGTTCAGAAGCCTCTTACTGATGGACCAATACTTCCCAAACTTGGAGAGAAGCATCTGTAATTTGATGCAAATTTGGACGAGGTGGAGGAAGCAGTACTCCCTTCATTGTGCTGTTCTTGTTCAACCACCAATGCAAATAGTCTGTAAGGGAAGGAAAAGGGTAACTGGGGAGCCCAAGTGATCCCAAGAAGATTCCATGGTCTGTGCAGAGACTTCTGAAGAAAACACATATGTACCTGGCCCAAAGGAATAAGGGCTTCCATAGAAGCCAAAGTCCTCAAAAGCAACAGAATCTTTTGTGCTGAAACCGAGAAAGTAGTAAATACATATAGAACTGAAAGCACTATTGAACAGAGAAGAAGTGGAGAAGGATAGGCTCGAATGACGAGGGTGTTGAAAAATACACCCAAGTGGATAAGATAGTGAGTAGGAAAAAGGAAACTTCACCAACATTAGAATCCAACCAACACAAGCTGCTTCTGTCAGCAGTAGATGTGTGTGTGTTGAGAAGACTCCATTTCAAATTGAGCTAACAGGAGTCAGTCTTCCAAGTAATAGAGTAAAATCCTGGAGAAGGATGGCTCACAGGCTTGATAGCTCTCTGTGATAGAAGAGTCAGCACAACCTTAGATAGACTCTGACAGGTAACTGGATCCCGAGTGAATGGGAAGGAAATTGGTACAGGAGACAAAGTTGGAAGGGAAAGGAAAAGGATGACCTAGTCCTCAGTTGACCCTAGCCCAACAGCACCAGCTGAATGACCCTAGGGGGGGGGGGCATCCCAAGGTCACCTGTCTACAGGAATTCAAGACCAAAGTGGTGCTCCAGACACCACTCAACCACCAGGATACTGTCCTTCTTAGGTCACCACTCATGGCAAACACGTGGGTGGATGTTCAGATCCCAGAGGAGGTAACTGAAAATACAGAACCTTCCCTTAGAAGTCCCCTCACTACGTACAGGAATCATCCTCGAGGGGTTATGGCAGTAGAAGTAATTTTATTGCCTTTCTATAATAATAGAATGGACTGTTGTCCATATGCACATATTTTTTGTTTGATGATACAAAATGTGATCTGGATGGACATTTATAGCAGAATAGTTCATTTTTGCTTCTTTCTCCATGTAATTACTTGACTTGAAGTTGGAGTAATCTTACTTAATAAGTAGAATCTACAAGTTTCTTCTTTTCATATTTAAAAAAAAAAAGCCATGCGATAATTGACTGGCTTTTCTGCTGGATATCATGAACATCAGTGTACCTAAGACCACAACTACTAGATGATAAGGGCTAATGATAATCAGAATAAACATCACAGTTATATATAAATTCAACTACATGACAACCATAACTAAAAAAAAATAACCTACCTTCCAAATAAACTTCTCTATTAAAAAGACCCGCTGCTAGAGGAATGCTACAAAAATAAAAATATAGCAACTTTTAATACTGAATATATGTAGTAAAAACTATTTATTAACAAAATTGCTCAAAAATATTTTAAACAAGTATATTCAACCAATAAAAAATAAACCAAAAAATGTTAACAGATATATGAAATTGCTATAAGGTTCCCTCATTTAATAAATTTTGGTTTTTATGGTTTTTATCACTTTTCCTAAAAAATTCTCTGTTGAGAAAAAAAGAAAAAATACACACTTTTATAGCAGAAGAGGATCTTGTAAATTAATGCTGTAATGGATTAGAATTTGCACAGCCTGGGCTTGATTAATGAGATATGGTGAAAGAGCTTCCTGAAACTGATGTTCTATATCAAGTTAGGTACAAAGTAGAGTTCAATATTCTTCTGAAGAACTAACTACATTACTTTTACACCTCAGCTTGTGAATAAAAAAACAAGCTAACTTCAGATCACTCAGTAAGTCAAGTATATTAGAATATGCATAAGGAGAATGTGACACTGTCATTCATTCTAATTTGTTTAAGATCCTTGCAAGGACCAATGATGAATGTATAAAAGCCTTTTAATTCACAAGCTGAGGTCAGAAATAAATGGGAAAAGTTTAGTTAAGGATGTAAAATGCAAGATCTATAGTAATGATACAAGAATGAATTCTAGGCCTTACAACACCTTCACCCATATTGCTCTAGGTGATAGCTCCAGTTATAGATTACTGCAGAGGGCTTTTGCACTAAGTATTCAAGTTAATGTCCTCTACCTCCTTTTTACATGCTTTCAATAAATAATGTGTGGACAATAACTTTCATGGGAGGTATTTGAAAAATTATACAGCATGTATTTTCAGTTGAGCTTGCATGCTGCAGAGAATTTAACATGTTAGCTTAGAGTTATAGTTGCTTTATCTTGGTGTAGCCCTATCTCACATTCAATCTGTACAAAGATGGTAGTTCCTCAAAGTATGATTATTTGTCTGATACTATACGTCATTCACCTTGGAATTTTCCTTGGCTCACTGAATGTTAAAGCTTAACTTACCATTATAATTTTAGCCTGCAACAACATCCTTGGAAAAGCTTTTGTAAAATGCTCTGTACATTGTACTATTTATATTGTATTATAAGAATGACAAAAAAATACATTGTTCAGACGTTTGGAGACACTTAAACAGACATACACTTCATCTAATGTGACAACACAATCCCATTTGTCACATGCCAGATACCACTTTTATAGCTTTGAGCAGTTGGTTTTCCATTTGGTTATATGCTTTGGGAGAAGTTTGCAAGCACTGCTTTTGTAGAACCTAAATTTGTGTGAATTACTTTATTTACAGTTTTTGAGAAGGTTCCTACTTTAGCTGCAATAGATCACTGTATTGATATATTCCTTCCAGTGACAAGCTGTTTAACTTTCTTCATTAACTCCATGGTGTAAATGGAAATTAGTCATAGGGTAGCCTGTTTCTTCCCTAATAGACCCAAGCCTTCTTGCGTTTCAATGATATAGCTCAACACTACAGATACCCCTTGCTTTGAAATGATGCCAAAATTCTGTACTTTGCATGTTTTTATAATCATGTAATGGGAAAAATTCACATTGGAAAGTAATGTAACCCTCTCACATGTCTATTTTTGTTTCCATATGTACATGCAAATCACCACACTTCAATGGAATTCCAACAAAAAGGTCAGGATTTCAAACCTATTTAGTCACAGGCCACAGAAATGACTTTCAATGGCCAAAGGACCAAACTCCCAGTAATCATCACAGTACCTTAATCCTAATTCAATCTAGAATGAAATTTTTAATCTTCACATTGGCAATATACCTCTGATTTTATTTATCAAAAAATACTCAAACACATAACAATAGCTAGGTCAAACTAAGCATGTATAAAGATGATTTAATTTTGTATACTCATCCTGAATGACCTGAATGACCACTAAATTAATGCTAACATATAATAGACCAGAAAACCAGGAATCTACCATCTGAGCTTCTTTGGTATGATTTCAAACCCAAAGCAGGCAAATCCAAACAATTTACACACCTGTTTAAAAAAAGTGACAAACTCAATGACTATTAACAAAGTGATAACCTCCTGTTTTAGGAAAAGTAACACCTTACTAAAAAGAGTTGAAAGGTCCAATTGCTCTTACAATAAAAGTACCTAGTATCACGGTAGTAGCAAGTTAAAGTGTACAGAAACTATACTTACAAACTATAAGCACCAAAGAAGTATATTTCAATTTTATTGATAAATTTTTTACAAAACTTATTTATCACTTGTTATAATAAAAGTTACTAAGATAGTATGAAATATTTTAACCCATGATTTAGCTAAAATTCTTTCCCACTAATTATTTTGTTACATATGGATATGAAAGACTGGTAATTTAAAACCACAAATTTAAATGTTTCTTGATACCCACAAAATCCTTTTAAATAAAATTAAAAGATAAAGAAAAACAGAGATCATATACATGAAAAAGGAAAGTAAGATATAAAGAAGAACAGTGACAAAGCTTCTACAGGAAAATAAAAATAAAGATGTTGTGAAAAGGAAAAAGAAGAGAATAGATTTTGAATAAATTATTATATCTTTCATATAATTTAGGTAAAGTATACTTTAATAGATTTCTTTACATGTAAAAATATAAAATAATACAATTAGTTGAACCACAGATCTGATGCTCAAACTAGGACCACCAAAAAGTGTGTGAAAATGACAGACATTTTGCTTTTATGTTACTAGCTTTATTCATAATAGGCTGGAAAAAAAAAAAAGAAGTTAATTTAATAAAATAAAATAAACAAAAGCAATTATCAACCACTATAAAGTACAAAGACAGACAGAGAGGAAGAAAACACCAAACATCATTTAGCATTAACAAAATAAACATAAAAGAAAATCATCTATCATGCAAGCAAATACATACTTATCTCGTCCTGGTTTCACACACACTTCAAATAATGCATATACGGGTTTATGGTCTGAGGTGGTGATATTTTCTGCTATATCATACAGAAGACAATTTATGGTATCTTTCTTCTTATATCGAAACAACACACGATCCTGAAATAAGTTAGTTTCACTTAAAGCATCTAAATTCAACTCTTTAAGCAATCTGTGCTTAATACTTGGAATATAATTGCAGTCTTTCAAGAAAATGTTATACTCTTCGAGCTATGGTTTTTTTATGTCTGTGTACTAGTATACAGAAATTTCTTTCCAAAGTAATGGGCAAGAAGACAGGATTTTTATGAATTTGACTATTAACTGGCTTCTCAACCAAGTTATTGCTTGCATGGCATTATTGTGAGATGGGTAAAGGAACATAATTAATTTTATATTATTACTTAGAGAAATTATATGTCCAAAATAAAAAAACAAATAGAAATAAACAATACATATTGTCAATAGTCTACTCAGCTTTTCATAAAATATTTTTTTTATAGGTTTTAGATCATCAGACACTTAAGGTACATCATAAAGGACTAATTAATAACAAAAGCTTCAATAAATGGTTGTACATTATCACTTGAAACATAATTCACAATATACGGAATAAAACGTTACAGATCAGTCACGAAAATAAAACTTGGATATAAAAATCCACCTTGGAATCTTCTAATAGTTCAAATATATTATGCATGCTTTATTCATATACAATGATTACAGTAATATATTTCTAGTATGCTTATTTTTCTTCACAATGTACTGTCTTAACTATATACTTACATACTAATGATTTAAAGAGGAAAAATTTTTTTCATACATATTTATGACAAAATGTTCCTTTCACACAAATATCAGAAAATTTCATTTTATCAAATCCTTATGCATATAAACCTGTTATATTGGTTCAAATGTTTCTTTACTTTATCAATGCAACCAAACAGTTAATGAAGGTGATTCTTGTGGTATTATTATTACAAAAGGTAATATCAATTACTATCTGATAATTTTCAAATGGTCTACATTGTATTGCCACAACACTACAAAACATATTATAAGGGTTAAAAATTTACATTTTCCTATACCTCCTCTTACACTTTAGGTTTATCCCGACAAAATGTTCTCTTCTTTGCCAATCTAATCAATGGTATGCATTCTACCTCACTTGCTTCAGTCTTTATACCCTATTATATAGCCCCTACTGATTTTAATCTTGTGACTCTCTCCACCTACCTCTATGCTCCCTCTATACCCAACACCTATATAAGCTACCTGTTATTCTTTCTTATTCACTTTTTTGAGACTTGCAAGATTATCAGACCCAAACACATGCAATAATGGGGAGGAAGGTTGGAATAGTGTGAGATAAGGTAAGTATTATCGAAAATACATTTTCCATATAGGAAAATGTAAACTTCCACACACACTTACCTCCTCTCACACTTTAGCTAGAATCCCACATTGACCAGGTAGAGGGGTTGGTGAGGAAAAGATCCACACAGAAAGCGTCTGCGTAAAAAAAACAGGAATGTAAAATTGAGTTATAATAAAGTACACTAGTGTGGGCCTGCACTACTTCTGGAAAAGGTATGCTTATCACCCAATAAAGTGAAATTTAAATGTGGGTGGTAAAGGCCAACCGGCTACAGAGTCAACATTGTTCATTATTATGAGATTCGTACAGGCCCCAACCACCCAGATGAGGTTCCACATCTCATTGTTGGAATCATAGGGTTGTGGACTCAAAGCTAGATCCAAAGTGTAGTGAGTAGAGCATGAGAACTACAATATGATATAAATGTATAATAGAAATATAACAGGAAGGGAACCCAACCTGTTGCATGTTGAGTCATCGAATTATGAAGAGAAGGCAAGCAACACTTAAGTGGACAAACCCTCACTCCAACCTGAAAAGCACAAAATGCAATAAACCAAACTCAGAATTATGGGCCCAGACACCCTACCTCAAAGTTACAGAATGTCACATGTGAGCCACTGGAATTATGAAGGGAAGGCTAGCTCAGAATGAAATAAACCAAACTTGGAATTATGGAGCCAATTCACACCTCACTCAACCTGAAGAGACAGAGATCATCCAGACTGGGATTATGTACTGAAATCCTAACTCCTCAGCCTGGAAGGCAAGGTAACACCTCCTGCCCCAGAATTACATGGAAGATGTGGAACAAATGATATTCAACCAATGGCTCATGAATGTGACACTCTGTGTGAGGAATTACAAGGAGTCGAGGACCCTCTTCCATAATCATGTAAAGTAACAGAATGACCAAAAAGAAGGGTCATGTTCACACACCGAAGAGCAAAGTGTCATCTCTGAACCAGAATTACGAGGACACTCCTGTGTAAGCTAGACCAGCTCCTCATCCGACATCTGGGAAAACCATCCAGGGTTATGGGTGGGAGGGTATCCAGCTTTGCCCTCTTCTCCTTAAGTGGAATAAAAAGAACAATCTTCACTCAGGAGGAACAGATCTCTGTCCACCACTCCTGCCACTGGAAACTAAGAATAGTAAGGACTCCCTTGCTCCACTAGAAGAGGAGGAAGAAACTCACATTGGGGAGTCCTGATGCTCCAGAGACAGTGCAATAGGTGAAACATGTTACCTATTTTGAAAAGGAAACCAACCCGAATTTGTTCAATAGAGATTAGCATGGATGGGCAAAGTCCCTTTTTGCTCTACTCATGATAATCCATGAGTGGTGGTAAAGTATTGTATGTGATATTTAATACAGAACAGTTGTTCCCCACCTGAAAAGCGCCAAGGTGGTCTCATGGAACACCTCATCTCAACAGAGATCGTTGCTATCAGGAATTTAGTTATCAGTCTACTGGTAGCTAGTGCTGAGTAGCTGAGTGGGATTCAAATGAGAATGATGAAAATGTCCCTAAAAAGAAAGAAATGAAGTTACTCACCTCTGTCACAACTGAGCCAGGACATGATGAGAAATAGAGGGAAGGGAAATGGGCAAAAAGGAGGAGTTACCCTCATGAGCCACCAAGGTCCAGGGAAGGAAGGAACGATCTGGATAAAAGAGATGATAGGTTTGGTGGGACAGTGTGTGAGTGATGTCGATAGTGAACAGCTCTGACTGACAACATCTGCAAGCCAAGAGTAGAAGGAAATATGCCTTAAGGGATAGGTGAAACAAAGAGCACGAGGCAATGGGCTCAAACAGAGTAAGTGAATGGAGTACCACATGAATGTCCCAATCCAGAAGTGTCAGCCACCTAGGTGGCCAACATATCCAGAAAGAATGGATCAAAATGGCAAGGACAGGGAAAAGAAAGACCCATGGTAACAAGAAAAATGGAAACATAAGATAGGGCTGCCTGATAACCTGATATCAAGGAGAACAAAGACCCCTATACAAAAAGCCATTTAAGAAATTCAGAGATATCAGCAACTGTAGGATGAGAAGCTGGAATATCCCAAGCCAAGGCCCAGGTGTGAAGAACATTCCATTTCTGTTGATACAAAGCCATGGATGAAAGATGAATGGAATGCACTAAATGAAATGCTACTCGACATGAAAAACCAGATCTCCTCGCCAGGGACCAGACAAAAGCCAGCCATGAAGATGGAGGACATGAAGTGTGGGATGCAGAACCAGCAACTGGGGCTGACAGAAAAGGTTAGGGAATAAAGGAAGAGGGACAGAAGTGAACAACTGTAGCTGGAGTAATTGAGAAAACCATGGTAGAGTGGGAAAGTAAGGAGCAATCATAAGGACTTTGCATAGAGTGGTATGGATGAGGGAGACTAATCGATGAAGGAATCAGAAGAGAGGATAAACATAATGGAACTTGTTTGACCAATCCTGGCTGAATACATCTATAGCCAAAGACAGAAGGATGGGGAACCGGGGACCAAAACAAAGGTAACTAGGGATTGAGGGCGGCAACAAATGCATTGATATGAGGAATACCTACCCATTGCAAAGTCACCAAAATACAAGGGATGGTAAACCCAGTTGGGTCTGCTACAAGGTTGAAAGCACCTGGTACATGACATGCCATCAAATGAATATGATGATTGTGGGCCAAAAAAGGAAAGATCCAATGTTAGAAAACACAGGGATCTTGACCAGGTTCCACCTTGGTGATTGATATGAGCCACCACTGTTGAATTGCAGAATGGATCATGACCAGACGATCTCTGGAGATGGGAAGAAAGTGATCCAAAGTCTGACAACAGCAAGGAGTTCAAAGACGTTGATAGGAAAAGAGTGTTCCCTCACAGACCATTAACCTGAAGCCTCCTGCTGATCGACCCATGCACCCTAACCCTGAAGTGATGCATCCACTAACAGATGTAATTTTTGCTACAGAGAAGGAAGCAGAACACCCATCATTGTAAGATCCTTGTCCAACCACAGGCGGGAGTAACCCCCACCCCACCAAGCTGCGTGGAGCAGGTTCGATAGCCTGTTGTGTGAGGAGATCTTGCACTGCTTCATATAGATGCTGGCATGACAAGGGACCCCCAAGGAGGAGAAAAGGAAACATACAAGCGGGACAAGGGAGGAAGGGTAAGAAAAGGTATGATGAATCTCTCTGACAAAAAAAGCAGTGAACCCAACCATTGTAGATGAAAGGGCTCCACCTATGAATGAAGGTCACCAGACCCAATTCCACCATGTAGTCACTGGAACTGTAGTTGGCATACCAAGCATCGTCATGCAAAACAAGCAAGGGCTGGGAAGGGAAGTATCAGGAGACAGGAATTGGTGCCACATTTGGCTCTGACAAATGGGCCACCATATGAGGAAGGGTGGATTTTTATTGGACTGAAGCTACCTTTGATTTCAAAGACTCCTATTATGTAAAACACGAAACATCTCAAAAACAGGGCCATCCAAATGTTGCATAAATAAAGAGCCAGAACAATATGGGATCACGACCCAAAAGGTCCCAACAACAAATAAACCACGTTTGCAAGGCCAGAACTGAAGATGACAGGTGGGCCAACGTAGAAGTGAGGAGGGAGAGGACTTACCCATAAAACCTGTTAAGGTACTTGGGAAGAACCTCAGACAAGAGATGGATCAAGGAGAGTCGTCACGGGAAGACAAAGATAGGAATACTGTGCACTGGAAAGATGAATGAGAGATTCAGGTCCCACCCACCCAAACAGGCAAATCTGAACCCAACAATTGTTTGTCCTGATATGGACTGTCCACCCTATGATAAGTGAGGGTGGACTGATCAGACAAAACATCACATACCTGTGAAATAGAATCCAAGAAAGCTGACGAGGGTCGAGCATAATCCTCAGGTAGGGTTTGGGAAGCCACGGCAAACTATCCAAATCATCGTCAGCCTGGCCAAGCTAAAGAAAGGCTCAGGAGGAAAAGGAGCAACAGCAGTATGGGACAAAGGTTGTCTCATATAAAGCTCAATTTCCCTGTGAATAAAGGCCGAT